TAGCAATGGTTAGGTTCCAGTCAGCAGGGACCTCCCCAGACACCAAGACCCTTGTTAGATAATTGGGGGTAGGGGTCCTGCTGCTAGCATCCTTCAGTATTCCTTCAGTTAGCTAAAAAAATTATTGAAAGAAGCAAGTAAGAACTCAGCCAGTTTTCTTCCCTATCTCACATAAAGTGCGTGGCACAAATCAAGCAGCTTCAGATCTTTCCACCAAGCAAATGAAGAAATACATTTTAGCAAGGCAAGGTTTATGCCTTTCACATTTTAGATAGGTAGGAGAATCTAAACCATTATCACTTTGACCTGTCTGTAGAAAGTTTATTATTTTAGACAAAGACTTTGTCTCACACATACTAACGAAGATGTAGTTCAAATTGGATTGCTTTCAAATGAAATTGAAAAAAGAAGATATGCCCAACAGTTCAGGAACATTAAATGCTTGGAACTAGAACTACTCTGAAAGAAAATCCCAGCACAGATATCAGGGTCTCAGAATCAACTTTTTGTTTTATAGGTATGCACTTATCTGGCCACACTACTTGCCAGAGCAGTCAGTTCTGCTGCCAAAAGCTAACAGCCCAGCTTTTCCAGAAATAAAACTTCCTCTCAGAAATGTACTTCAGAGACCAAATTAAGTAGGGGCATAGAGAATGATTTTTTTTTTCTTTTATCCATAGCAAAAACCTGCAGAATAATGTAATTTGAGAGGGCAGACTACTACAAGAAGACTGAGAGAGAACTCGAGAATGATAAAGGGGAAAAATATAAAATATGTACTTTGTGGATGAAATAATGAATCCTGATAATAATCCAGTTTAACATAATCTTATTTCTTGTTTATAAAATGCATTAAAAAATCCAGGCTACATTTGACTTTCTAGATTATACACTTCTTTAAATAACTGCTCCTTCCCACCAGTTGCCCTTTTTCCTTTAACCTTCTCCTTTAAAACATTACTTCAATAGGCTTTTATTTTTTTATCATGGATATGCTTGCTTTACAGCTTCTATTCACCTAGTTTTGGTTTTTTTTTTCCTACTGCAGAAAATGTAGTTGGTGCCTGGATGAATGAACAGGAATATCAGGCTTGTTTTGACATACACTACAAATCTGGCATCACACAATGTCTTTGCAAGGAAAGACAATGGACAGAGTAAAAAAAGAAAATGTCCTGCCTAAGAAGTAATGAAAACTTAGGGAATGAGGTATACCAGTTCTGTGTAAAGATGGATTTCTAACTATTCTGAAAATTTCTGTAAACTGTCTCAAATTGGATGGGTTTCATTTTAATACAAACAAAAACATGTCAGATACTTCCTCTTCCTGAAGTCTGGGTCCAAAACTACTCCCTAATCAAAATATTTATTTAGATATAGAGAAGGCTCTCCCCAGGAACATAAAAGCAGGAAAATAACAATGACCATGCATAACCTGTTTTCTGGGATGTACACAAAAGGATGAATGTGAGGATGCATGTGAGGCAACAGAACAGAGGCAGCCAAAGAAAACTGTACTTTAGAGCAAATGTTTTATACCCTGACTGAGAAAAATTTTATCACATTGTGATAGCCAACTTAACGAATCAAGCATGAAGAAATTTGCTATCAGTACAGCCTATGGAAAAAAACCATCTCTTTACCTGTGTACTTGAGAGAGAGGAGAAAGGGCAAAACTAATGCAAAAAAGGCACAAACAGCTCAGTGATTTTGGCTGAACCACAACAGCTTAGTTGCAGATAGCAGCCTCTGTACTAATGCTACTTTTTTGACATCTCCCAGTTCTCAGGAGCTTTGTCTCAAATACCTATGCAGGCCCACTGTTCTGTCTTAATGTTCAGTAAGAGAAACTCTGGCACTTTGAAATGGTACTAAGGATGAGAGATCATCCCTAGTAATTTCGATTATTTCTGTCACAAAGACAACTTTGGCTCCAAGTTAATTCCCTCATTTACCATTTTTCTCTAACTCTTTTCCTTACAAGAAAGTGTAAAGCTCATGTTGCAGGTGACTGGAATGCAACTGGATGCTATAAAATCCAAAATGTCAGTGCCTGAGTTCTAAGTTTGTTGTCATTCTCTTTTCCTTGTCTTTCATTTGAAATTGTAAAAATACAGCTTTGGAGACTTTTGGTCCCATCGGGCTAGTTTCAGTTAATTTCAATTTAACTAAAGATTGTATTTTAAGGAAAGCCAATATTACCTCACTTTGCTCATTTAATGAATATCCAACTTTTATTTGTACTTTTCATTGAGCAAGTAATTATGAGTCTAATGTATAATCCTTCCACAAGTAATAAAACTCAGAGAGGAGCATGGGAATGCCATTCAGAATGCAGCCCTGACGGAAGACTTTCATGCATCACACATGGACCATGTGTGATGACAAAGAGGATACACTGGACAGTTTACAAAATTTGTAAACATTAGATTGTAGCACTGTGTGGAAAACCAAGTACACATGAAATTGTTCATTTTACAGACAGTGTGCCCAAGCAAGTATGGTCTACAAATGCATTTTTTAAACTTTACAAATAACTGTGTTTCCAGAACCGACATGATCCTATGCGAAACATAAGGGATTATTAAGCTACTATCACTCAAGTTTGATAGGAATTTAAATTTTCAGCAGATTCCAGTTGAAACACACTGGCTTAGCCTGGGGTCCATCCAACCACAAAGCCTTCACAGAGCTCAATCTCAGCTGAACACAGGTTTGGTCTCGCAGTCAGATCAAAAAACAATAGCGCAAGTTTGGTTTGTGAAAGACAACAAGTAATTAATTTCAAAAGCTCCTGTTCAGTCTTTTTTTCTAAGCCATTGACTGCCCAGAAAATGGGACTAATAAGTATTGGTTTCCTGTAATTATTGGTTCATTGAATCTTTTCTGAATCTTAGGCATTCATAATGCCACTCTGTTATATGGATATTCTGGTATTTAACATGAATTGACATCAAGCCACAGTCCTTTCCTTTGGGAAGGCTGGAACACTGCCCTCCTCCCTTGGTTTTTTTTTTGTTTGTTTGTTGGTTTGCTTGGGTTTTTCCCACACCAATGTAATATCTTTAGGTTTTTTGATTTTTTCCCTATTTTTTTTTAAATTTGGCTTAAATATTAGCACTGTGTTTGAAAGAAGTAGGAAAACAAATAAGGGAGAAACCTGCATACATGAAGTATGGTCTTACAAGCCTTATTTTCACAGGGACAGGCTGAAAAATTCATCACCTACAAACAGACAAAAATTGAAATACATGCACAGAAAAGAAAAAGTGTCTGGAAGATAAAGGTGTCCTTTTTTCTTAGGGTACAACCGCAAACACTCAATACTAACTCAGAACATAAGATTAATGCTGATTCCATAAAACCATACATCTTTTAATGAAAACACAGAAATATCTTTAGCCAAGGCAGAAGCCCAGTGTACTGAGGTAGTCTCTGAGTGTGATTTATTTTCCTTTTAAAAAAAACCCAAAAACTCTAAAGCATTGAGCTGAATATTTTGTTTCTTTAAACCAGAGACTTAATACAGCAAGCGATATAAGGAGAAAATTTATTCATAGGGTTTGTAGTGACTTTAATTGGCTGCCAGCTGGATTGGAGGTATTTTACAAAATAATTGATGAAAGGAGCAAAAGAAAGATCTTCAGTTGGACCTTTCTTAGCTCACTTTCCTCTCAAACCAATGGAGAGCAGAGCTAGAATCTAACTCAGCATATCTGTCATGGAATTTTTCAAAAAGAATTTTTTCACAGAAATAAGGTTAATAATTGAAAGGTATCTGTTTGTATATACTTCACGAAACACTGACAAAGGGACATATGTGGTAGAGAGCAATACAGCACAGATGACACACATTTAAAAACCTTTCCTGCGTGCTTTCTGAGGGAGTAGAAGAGATGAAGTCATCCCTTTGGAGCAATTTATTAGTATAACATCACATAAATTAGTATATAACCTCAAGTTAGGATATTTCCTATAATTTAAGTTTCTTTTGAACAATTCCTACACAGCTAGCAAGAAATCTTCCCTCTTTCCTGAGTTACTACTGTACAACCTAGAAATAAAGAACTGAATGTTTCTTAGACTCAATATTGAAAACTAAGAAGATCATGGCTTGAGCTTAGGCAACATATGAATAAGAGGAAAGTGGTTAACACTAGAGTCCTTTCCTTGTGTTCCTTCTTCCTTTTATCACCATACACATTATCACACCTCAGCTATCTAATGCACTGTCAGCATCACTTTTTCACTTTGAGTAAATTTGATCCTTTAGCATGGTGACATAAAGTATCATGAGGTTGTGATTTGCCAGTGGTAGGATAAAATATGTGAGAGTGCATCAAGAGACACTTATTTGCTATTTCTGGTGGATTTAGGGTGGTAATTTCCAAAGATACTGAATTTTTCCACTGCATTTTGACAGGAAGTCAACTAGGAGTTGTCAGTTTTGGTTAGATGGTGCATTAACCTTTGTATCTGCAAACTTAAGAGAGAAGAATTTCACCTAAGTGAAATTCAGACGATAAAAAATTACAAGGTAAGCATAAGGTCTGCTCAAATACTTGCTTAATCTTCCACATTCCTTACATTTCTACTCTATATGTATATAGACAGTATCTGGGGTGTGGCTAGAGTCACCACTCCTGTTCATAAAGTCTGTTCAAAACTTTTGTACCTTGAATATTTAGAAAATATCACAAGTAGCAAAACCAAATTTGTCATTGAATTGCTTTGTAACTCTGTGTAGAACCAGGATTCACTTAGAGACCTCTGAAATAGCATGATCTATGTGCATCATGCCACACAGTTGGCGTGCTTATTCTTCCAGTGTAAAGGACCATTAGTTTTTTTTCCAAGAGACAGGATACACATCACCAGGCTTGTGAATTTCTTGTTGAGATGAAGCAACAAAGATTTATATAGAAACCAGCTGTTATTAAACATTAGTTTATAGGTACATATACACTGAAAGAGGAAAAAAAGAAGAAAAACATATGTACCTGTGGGGTAGTGTTCATTCACTGGCCAGCTGTCAACCTGAAGCGTTGCATTGCCACCATTCCTGGTAAAGCGTACTACGTGGTATTTGCCATCATTTACAGGTGTGCTTTCCTCTTTAATAGAAATGTCCACTGTGCCAATATTGAAGACTACACCAATCTTGCCTTGCTCCTAAAAGAAGAAAAGAAACAAATGTTTTTAAATTGCTGCCACTTAGGAGAATGTTCTTGGCCTATAAGTCTCTAGTGGGTAATTCTGCCGGTAGATGGCACTGAAGAATACACAGAAGTGTCATTTTTAGCTTCGTAAGGACACACTTCATTGGTTCTGCTTCAATGCAAACACTTTCTTTCACACTGTTCTTTACAGCATTCACCTGAAGACAGTGACTCATTTGTTCCTGTGAAACATCACAGAAGACAGGTGAGAAACCAGGCAACAAAAATCAGGAGATGTGGATAAAGAGTTATTTGAGCAACATCTCTCCTGATTATTACTAGTCACTTGTTATATGAAATGCAGCCACAGACAGGCTGTTATCTCAACACCTGTTTTTTTCCTGTTATTCTTGGGAAACAAACAGTCCTCACCCCCCAAAAAATAATTGTGAGATCCAGCAGGAAGAATGCAGTTGGAAGATGAATGGAAGTCAAAGGGAGCAGAAATGTCATTAGCTGACTTTGAAAACCAGAGAGAAGCTACCTAAAAGACAGGAGCAGCCCATCTTATTTTTCTCCATTACACACTAAGCAGTGCCTTACCATTAAAGCAGTGCTTTCACAAAACTTTCCACTAGTCACTGACTGAAAGGGAAGGGCAGGAAAAGCCTGTTATAGTAGTCACAACACTTCCTTCTGCAGCCCCCCTCAGGTGGTTCCAAGTAATGACCATATTTAATGTCTTTAGGTTGTAAAATACAAACCCAGGGTATACACAGATTAGATATATGCATTTAACACTACTGACTTAAACAACGACAGAAATTCTCATCACTGTACAATTAAGAGGAATGCATCTCCAAACACTCAGTAAGGAGAGGCACAGTATATTGGTGTCAACAATTATGAAGGCATATTATGTGCACTGCACAGATCCAAAACTGGTACAGATAGGCAGAACTAAAATGTATCATATAGGAAGTCAATACATTTGCAAGGTATCCATACGATAAAATTGAAACAACAGAGAGCAGATGGCCATTTTTGATGCAAATATAACTTCCTTGAAAAAACCTGGGGTATAATAAAGGGTCATGGGACCATTCTGTTCCATTTAATACCTTACATATCTGCTTAGTGGGCAGAGGACTCAATTGCACAGTGCTGTTACCCTAACTTCACTACATTCACATTAGCAAATCTCAGCAATAAGAAACCTCTCCTCTTGTACTTGATGAACAACTTGGATTCCTCTCCTGGATTTAATCCTGTCTCCTGGTATCAAAAAATCTTTTTTGTGAAAATTCCACCATTTTTCAATTTCTCAGAGAGGTCTTTCTGATTCCTGCTTTACTTTACATTTCAAAGCTTACTCATACCAAAGTACTCATCACAAATTCCTTGTATCTTCAATACCCTTCTTTTTTTTTTGATATTTTCTTCCTAAAACCAAGTTTCCTGGTATCTGACTACGGCATTGTTTTTGGAAAGGATAGCAAACAGTCCTGTAGCTGAAGAGGTCATGAACAGTGGTTCAACTACTTGAGGTTTAGTACTGAAACAGTAAGCATCTTGGTTTTTCTCTCAATACAACAGTAAATTTTAGACTGTGCTAAATGTATGCTGGATAGAAGGTTTCACGTACATTCATACTGTTATTCTTTGAAGGCACTTTTCTTCAAGATATCAATATAATCTTTCTCTTTTCAAGGGAACATGAGGTTAGTGGATTGGTGCTCCCAGCAGATGCATGAACTCAGATGCCATTTGAAAACAACCAATGTTTCTTCTCTTATGCTAGCCAAAAATAAGTGAAGTTTCAGTAAACAAAGATTTATTTCAGATAAAAGCATTGCTGGCACAGCTTTACCACTTCTTTGACATATGAAGTGATCTCCCAACACTGTTTTAGTGAATCTTCTGGTGGTAACCATATAATTATCCTTACCTGCATAGCAATTACAAACGCACGTGATTAATTTTCCCTCAAAGACTCAAATAATATATAGCAACCAGGTAACCTGGCTGCTGATACTGTGGTTTTGCAAGATATTGCCTTACAATCAACCTCCTGGAAGACCTCTCATTCATTGCTTTTTAGCTGCCATCAATACATCAAGCTTCTTTGGCAAACTGTGGCTGCTCTAAAAGAGTCCCCCCCTTGGTGAAGGTACAGCATAAGGAGGTGAGATGAAGAGCTGCACCTTTTCTAATGGAACAGATCACCACCACAGAAGAGAAAGGGATTAAAAGGTATTTTTGCAGCAGAGTGAAAGCTGCATACCTTCAAGCCTACAGCTTAACGAGGCAAAGGTAAAAAACGTGCAGGTGGGGAAAAGGGTGGTGGGAAGTTCAATTAATCTCTGCAGAATGAGAAAATGTTTCTGATTTCTCCTCAGAGGAAAAGGAGATAGCAACTTTCACCATTTCCTTTCCCAAGGCTTGAAGGAAAAGACCTATTTACAGGGTGAGTGATAAGAGTGCAAACTGGGAAAGAGATAAGATTCTGGAAGCAGAGGACTGCAAAATGCCAGTGGCCTTTAGTCTGATGGAGAGAAGAGGGAAATGAGCAAATCGGTGTCTTTCCCATGCTGAGAGACATCCCCTCCCAGAGCCAGAGAGACAGCCCTTCTAAAAGCCTTGTAATACTGTTGCAATTAAGAGCAAAAATTTGTCTAAAAATAAATCCTGATTCTTATGGACAGCCTATTCCAGCTGTCTTCAGACCACTCTTGGGCAGAACTTTCTGTGCCTCTTTAACTCGAGTTTTGCAGAAGCACAATTTCTGAGACTCTTATTTGGATGAGTAGGAACTTCTAATGAAAATGGTTTTGTTCCAATTACCAGAACAAAACACAACACAATGTGTCAAAGGTAGGGCTACTGAAGCTAAACTGCACACACAGACCTCAAGATACAATTTATTTATAATATTTTATATCTCCAGGGCACCAGACACTATGAAAAAATTAACAGTTAGTTTATGCATTCCTGACAGAACAAAAAAATAAAGCAAAGGACAGAGAAAATCCTACAGCAAAGAACAGTGACCATGGACACAAGGGGCAAACTCACAATTTATTTTCAACATCTCTTCAATTCCAGTTTCTTGCACTACAACACTTCATTAAAAACAGCTTTTACCAAGACCTTTCTTCCTTCTAAATCTGAAAGACAAGCTTTACCATTATGGTTTAACAGTTCATGATGGACATAACCTTTCATTCCTTTCCCCACACATTCAGCTGGTGGATTTTCTTTCCACATAACCAAAGGTATTAACTAGACCAGTAAATATGAGACAAAGAAAGATTTACCTTTGAGCCACTACCTGAAACATTTATAATGTAGGATTTTTTTTTCCTTTAGCTAACTATAGAGCAAGGAAAAAGGTGACTACAGAACCACACAGAGCAAATAAATCACGTGGTCCAAAAGGGTTCAAGAGAATTGTAACAGACAGTCCAATTCTTTTCCTCTCTATATTGGTATTCACTGGGTGCCTCAAAAATTTCTATTAAAAGGCAACCATTAATTAATGGTTTTGAAACCTCCAAGTGACATCAAGTGCTGGCACTATGTTTTGGAAAACTGAAAACCAATAAAATAAAATAAAATAAAATAAAATATTTTTTATTTATAAATAATGAAATGAACTCAGTATTCAATCTATCTCACTTTTCTTCTTCTTTAAGCCTAGTGTGCCAAAAAGGATTTTTAAAGTTTTTCAAGAATTTGTCTTGTGCTGATTTGTCCCATAAAATTGCTACCCTCAAAAGCCAGATTACCATTTCATTCCCTACAGCACTTCTGGAGATGAACTTCTGCCATTATGTCTCTAAGACTTTAGAAATATAATTATGATCACATAAAGGAATGGCTGTAGATAAATTATAAGAACAAAAAAAGCACAAAGTACTGAAAAAAAGAAAAAAATTGTACAAGGCTTCTCCTTGACCTGTCTACTCTACACAGACTGCTCATAACAGTTTGTTATATGCACAATCACCAAACATTTTTAACATTATTTAATTACACAAGAGCTAATCTACAGCCTGGATCAGGAGATCAGCAATTTATTGCTTGCCCTAAAGCATTGGCTCACTTTGGGCAACCTTTTATTTTACCTTTCTTTAAAACAGATTCTTTATCTGTAACAGAGGAGTTATAGGCAATCTTTCCAAGCTGTACAAGCTCTGAAAATCCAGATGTATTTTACTTAAACATTGATTATATACTGCCAACCCAAACATTTCAGCCCTCAGAGCAATTACAATCTCAGAGGAACACATCCTCAGCTTTCCTCACCTTCTACATTCAACTCCTCCAAACCTGTTCCTCTCCTCTCAAGGGACCTCAGAACAGTGAGGTCTTACATTTTAGCAGGTATGTTTTAAATTTTGTTTCTCTTCATTCAAGGAGAAGTAGAGCCTGTCCTGTGTGCAAATTGTCAGGCCTTTGCTTTCTCCATGTCATGCCTTTGCATTTTGAAGGTGTCTGTCTTTATGTAGCAGACCAGGTATAAAGAAAGTAAAATAGGATTGGTAGTGATTTTGTAAGATGAGCAGTTAGTGTGTGTTAGAGGGTACACAGAGACGAACAGTCACATGCAGTCTGTGCTCTGAAAAGAGCTTTACCCTTAGGTTTTCTTTTTCTTAATCTAAAATTTAAATTGTCCACACTAAAAGTATATATTTGTTCCCTGTGTTTAGAAAGTATTTCTTTTCAAAAAGCCAGAGACAGAACTCCAGGCATTAGGACAGATCCTACTCTCAGCCGCATCAATGTGAATCAATAGCAATTCTGTTGAAGAAACTCAATTCCTACTGATCGAAGTGGAAGCAGAGTTTATCCCAGTATCTTTTTGTGTTATTTTGCTTATTTTTCTGAAGTAGAATGTAAAATTAAAGGAAGTATTTATAAAAAAACATACCTGAAATCTGAATACAACCCCAGGCTGTGTTTTCTCACACTTATTTTATTGCATAATTTTTTAAATAGTAACTACTGCAT